GATTGAGCCAATTAATGGAGGGAAAGTTAAAATCCCCATAAAGCAGAACACGTGCGTTAGGGTGTTTATTAGTTAGCTGGGATAAGATTTCGTTAAGTTTGCCGGGGAAGTCTGGGTCAGTTCGAGGGGGCCTATAGCATACGCCAAGTATTATTGCTTCGGGAGGGGCACGGCATATTACCCATAATGATTCTAGTTGTGAAGATGTGTTAATTAGAGAGCATGATAGTTCTTTTTTAGTGGTGATGAGTATGCCTCCGCCACGTGAATTTTTACGATCGTGACGAAAGAATATGGTATTTATCGCGCACTAACTTTATGTTAGTGCGGGGGTTTCAGATTAATTCCAGCCTATTTCTTTAGCAATATATCTATAACATGTGGTACAAATAGTTTCTGTTAGTAATTTCACAAATGACAACACTATTATCAGCAAATTATGACAAAATTTAGATGATAGCAAAGAAGGGGCATTGGCTGTTAAAATGAGAAATAAGTTGGGCTTAGCTGAGCACAAAGTGAGTTCAATTTCATGCGAAGCATTCAAAGTACTAAACTTTGTTCGGTAGTGCCAAGGTCCAGATCACTTAATTTTAAAGTAAATGTTTATGAATGATTTTGTCAAATGTGTTAGAAAGTTCTAAAATAATTCAGTCTATGAATCACCTCATTAAGAGAATGGCACAATTTATGAGTAAATAAGCGGAGTCTAACTTTGAAGCGTAGTTTTAAATCTATACTGCGTAGTGTTGTATGAAATGTGGGGTGATATAGAGGTACTTAGCTGCTGAATAAGCTTTGTTAGAATATAATAATAGTAGTGGTATTACAACATATGTGCAAGTTAAAATGAGGAAAAATAATAATAAATTTTTAAATTCCAGAAGAAAAAAAGAAAATAAAAAAAAATTACAGGAGATTCATGGAGTGATTGATGATGAGTGGGGTGAAGCGTCCGTCCATGCATGCGTCTATGCGTTCGATCGCGTTCGAGAATGCAGATGACGCATGGGTAACACCGATGAGACGCGTGACAAAGGAGTCGAGCGCAAGCGTCTTTAACGTGCCCGCCACTCTGCTTCGTTCATGCCCCACCAACGATCCACTACGTATGGTGACTATAAAGGAAACTGAGAGATCCGCTCGTTCTATGCATATTCAGGCACAGCCCCCCATGCAGCCAATCTGAGAGTAGGGGTACAGCGCCATCTAGTTATCTTTACCCAACTGCAGTTTCTATGTAATTCTTGAGAAAGCGCTGTCTATTATACTGTTCGGCAAATACTGCCTTCCTTTCTTTGTTTTCTCTCCTCTCGGTTATGCGTGATGCTTGTACCATATATAAGGACACAGTAAAAAGATAAGGCATCAGTACCAAAAGGACTTATTTGGTTTGCATTCTTTTATGGTTTGGGGGAAGTATGAATATTTATAGCAACTTGATTTAAAAGTGTATTTATTATGTGTTTGTGAGTGCCTGTAAGGTGTTAACTTAAAATGACAGAAAAAAATTACTTTTGACGTGTCGATGTTTATGTCACTATGAATTTGATTGAAACAAAATCTTTAGTTTTGCTATTTTTACCCTACCTTGTAGTGTTAATAGACCGGCTTTCGTTTGCAACTCAGTAGGAGAATTCGTTAGATTGAATTTGTTATAAATATACCTCATTGCCTTCCTGTGCACCCCCTTTTAATCCTTGCAATTAGTTACTTTGTATGTGGAAACCCCACAATACTAATATAATCATGTTAGTAATATATTATTATTATTATTATTATTATTATTATTATTATTATTATTATTATTATTATTATTATTATTATTCATTATTGATAACATTGCACTTGATTTGCAGTTTACTCATTAAATCTGTATTTCACTGTTACACTGTTCAAGGCAGTATTTATAATGTCCTTACAAAGACGCCGGCATTCGATAGGAGTACAATGCACTGCAGGATCAGTTTGGCAACAGTGGATCCTGGTGCAGCCCCGGACGTGCAAAACGCTCCGACAGTCTGCGACCAGCCACCAAGGAATGGTCGGAAAAGGAACACCAACACGTGGTCCCCATCTTTCACTTGGTCAGTCGGCTTCGTGTGCTCTGCTAAGTCCACCTTTCCAAGCAGTGCCATATCCGATTCCCTGACGTGAAGGCTCTTTCTCACGCTCATCTCATCAAACATGAGGACACCTAAAGAAAAAAAAATATTTCAGCTCTTTACCTAGAGTCCAGAAAAATCAAATGCAAAAGAAAAAAAAAGATAAAAACCTCGCCGTTCTCTCTTTGGAATCTTTTCCACTTTGTCTTTGAGGATGTCAAATAAATTTTCATCAAATCCGAAGCCGGCCTTCAGATTTTTCAGATAGGAGTAGAGTGTGCGAGGGTGTGGTAGAGGCAGAAAATTATTCTCGTGAAGAAATGTATAAACTGCTGTGGATTTGATTTTCAGCAGTAAACAATCGTAAAGCCATTCCTTTTTATACCTGCAATAAATAAAATGCAATTTTTGTGGTCACGATTCTGCTACAGCTCAAGCAAACAGCACCATCAAAGTAAAACAAAATATTGCGTTTGTCCCACGGCTTCACTTAGTAGTTTCTGTCAATATCCAGAAAGCAAACGAATGCGCACCGAACATCGCACTTCACATAAAATTGCACACACACACAAACTTTACAAACCGGATCTTACCGTGCTGCTTTCGCAGACTTCATATTTGCTTTCATGATGCACTGTCTATAATGAGCTTCTCGCGGTCTGAAAGCTTGTGAATATCTGCATACACTCCATTCTTTCTATTCGCGTGCGCCTCGCTTTGTGAGTTTCCGCTGACATGACTGAAGCTGTTGCTTCACGCTGCGAAGTTGGGCCTTCACTCTCTGTAGCTCCGACGCTGAACAAACGGTGACCTCTGTTTGACACTCTGCATCAGCGTAGCCATTGCGATTCTCAGTTCTCACAACATCTGCAAAGAGTGAGAAAGGGCAATATTTATAAGGGAAGGAACCAATTTGGTTAGCGTAGTGAGCGAATTTTGTTAGCGTGGTGAGCGGGTAGGATACTTGCAAACTTTGTGCCAGACTTACCTTCGATTTCTTTGTCGGCTGCACTGGAGACGTCTGCATTCGCGACTGTCGCATCACAATCCGGAGAAAGCTCTCGCGGCCTTTTTAGAGGTGGGCCCTTCGTTGCACGCGAACGCTGCTTTGGTTTCGAGAGGTAGGAAGGCAAACCTTCAAAATCCTTGGTACGGCGTCTTCCACCAGTCTCGGTCGTTCTCGGGGCAGCGAAACGATGTCTCCGTTCACAGTGCACACGTCCGCACGTACAATGTCACTGGCGTCGAAATGTTTTTCACACACGCGAGCGTACTTTGATTCGAACGAAAATCCGGCAGTCTCCTGTCGCGGGATCGCACGTTTCCACCTGACGCGTTGTTCTGCGTTGGCTGGTAAACAGAACAGGGAAACTTTTTCGACGGTGCCCTTGTATCCAGAATGACAGCCCGGCACGCAGCAGGTGTTGGGCATCGCTGTCAACACGATGCGACCGCGAAAAGCTAAAAAGGGGGGCGATCAGCACGACCACCACAACTCCGCGCCAACAGTCCGCTAATGGCGGCCAACAGAGCAGCCGGCCGGGCCGGCTTCCTCGTCCCCCGTCTAGCTACGCCAGCGCCGCGGCGCGGAAAGTGCGGGCGGTATATGAAGCTCTCCCATTGAGTGACGCGGGAGTTTCATGACCAGAAAAATATTGAAGGACCATGCTTGTACTTAGTCCCAGCTGTATACAGCCATGGTTTCAGTTAAAGTGAACTGAAACCGTGGAGTATTTTCACCTGGAAAGGAAAGAATGTAGAAAGTGATGCATCCAAAGGCAAAAAAGAAAACAAAGAGGAAAGATAAAACAGGGAACAGAGCAAGAAAAAAAAAGTGAGCTCTCAAAGAGAAAGAGAGAAGAAAAGAGAGAAAGAAGGAGGCACACGCACACTGAACTTCTCTCGCCCTCATTTTTGAGGGCTCCTCGTTTTTTCCCTATGTGTCACTTTTTTACCGTTACCTGGCTAAATTTTTGCTCCTATACGCAGATCGACTGAATTGACGGCGCACTCAGATTTAGCGTACATGCTCGTTGTCACATCCTGTCCCAAAATTCTCATGCCTGTCGTGCCAGTAAACAGATTTGCAATGAAAATCACTATCGTGCAGCTTAGGAGCTGTATCATGCACAGATCATAATGTCAGCCTGATCGCACGAAGTAGCGGTAATAACTTAGTAGTACACCATGCATAACACAAACGTTCAGTGGGACCTTAAGTTATGTCGTCTTAACTGCAAAAGTGCAAGTTGTGCTTTTCCAGCATTTTCCTCAACTATGAGCCATACACTACAGCTGTGTTTTGTATGAATATAAAAGAGAGTACTGCTTAAAATGTTAGGTACACTGACTATACAATTAAAAATATGGTAATCGGCATTTCTAAGAGTTACATTTTCTTGTAAAAAACTGACACATACTTATGTCAAGATTCATGCCGAAAGTACGTCTTGCCCAAGGATATTTCTGAAAAATTCAGCATATTCCACGTAGCTCCGGAATCGACATTATGCGAAGCATGCGGAGGCATGCTTAGCGCGACCATGTTGTGATTTTTTTATAGCGGCACGTCATGAAATTATGCCAAATATACGTCCAAATGTTCCACACACAGATATACATTGAAGAATTCCAAGTGTTTATATAACCAGTTGTTTGCACTTTCGCAATGATGCAAACATGAACTTGAGCATTAGTAACACCAGAATTAATAAGCTGGTATGAAGTGCTGGTGCTAGTGAGGATGGTAGCCCTGGACGCTGCTGCATAAATCAACTTCAGTGCATGGCACCTAGCAACAATTGGCGTCAACCCGATATCACAGCTGCATCATAGGAGTACATATCGTACATATGAGTACATCATAGGAGCCGAGAAGAGCGCCGGACACGGCGCTCTTCTCGGCCGTCACTCACTCTGTTCAATGTATCAGGTGCTGATCGGGCTCATGGCAGCGGCGGCGACGTATGCTACACCCGTGGCATTTCGACCGATCGACACATGGCCAGCGGCTCTTGGCATTCCACAAGCGACTACGCATGATCTACTAGATTCACCAAGCACCTCGGAGCGGTGCCATCTGCGCATCGAAACGAGCTGGATGACAAAGCATCGTGGTACGCTTCCGGATCCGCCTACTGCTGGCTACAAAAGGGAGCCCCTGAACCAATGCCCACTGGGACACGGCGCTCTTCTCGGCCGTCACTCACTCTGTTCAATGTATCAGGTGCTGATCGGGCTCATGGCAGCGGCGGCGACGTATGCTACACCCGTGGCATTTCGACCGATCGACACATGGCCAGCGGCTCTTGGCATTCCACAAGCGACTACGCATGATCTACTAGATTCACCAAGCACCTCGGAGCGGTGCCATCTGCGCATCGAAACGAGCTGGATGACAAAGCATCGTGGTACGCTTCCGGATCCGCCTACTGCTGGCTACAAAAGGGAGCCCCTGAACCAATGCCCACTGGGACACGGCGCTCTTCTCGGCCGTCACTCACTCTGTTCAATGTATCAGGTTAGTTATTTATGCCGTTGTAATTGCTTTAGAAGCAGTGATGACATGCTTCTTAGAGTGTCGTGTCCCATTAACGGTAAATGGCTTATCTGGACGTGCTATGCTGTTTCTCGCGAGTGTATGGCTGCCGCATTGAATTGGTCTGTCTTGGAGGGTTACGATGTGGCCTCTCAGACATTACTACTCTTGGCTGGTGACATAGAACAAAACCCTGGCCCTATGTCTGTGCCTGAGCGAGAACAGATAAGTAAAATCGAAGAAATGCTAAAGGTGCTACAGTCAGGGCAGGTAACCGTGTTGGAAAAGCTGTCGGGCATTGCTAAAACTCAGGATGAGCTTCGGAAAAAGCTGGACGACGTGATTACTAAAACTAATGTAATTGAAAAGCGCCTTATTACACTAGAGGAAACAGAAAAGAAGTTCGCTGATAAACTAGACGACTTAGAAAACAGAAGCCGGAGAACAAACTTGGTATTCTTTGGAATACCAGATAGTCATCCAAAGGAAACTTGGGAAGAATCCGAAAATCTAGTTAAGTCTGTCTGTACGGATGTACTAAAGCTGGAAAATATAGCAATAGAAAGGGCTCATCGTCTCGGGGCCTACAAAACAGAAAGAATTCGTCCAATAATTGCTAGCTTTTCAGGATCGAAATCAAGAGAATCTGTTCTGCGAAATGCATACAGATTCAAGGGGACGTCATACAGCGTATCAGAAGACTTCAGCAAGGCAGTTCAAGAAAAACGCCGGCAGCTTTGGAAGTACAGTAAAGAAAAACAGCTCGACAAGAAAAATCGTGTACATTTAAGTTACGATAAGCTGGTAATCAATGGACAAGCATTTGCCTGGGATACTAACATGCACCAACCAGTTCCTCTTCGGGCGCATGCTCAGATATTGGGGCGGAAATGACATGATCATTCTAGCTTAAAAACAAATGGGAAATATACCATCACAAAAAGCTTTACACCAGTATTGTTGGTGGTCAATTGTCGAAGCCTAAAAAACAAAACTGATGAGTTTACAATCTTACTTGAAACGGTGAAAGCGCAAATCGTTATGGGTACCGAATCATGGCTTGACGACACAGTATTGGATGTAGAAATATTTCCGCCAGGTTTTACAGTGTACCGTAAAGATAGAAACAGGCATGGTGGTGGCGTGTTTCTTTTAATTTCAAGTAGCCTTGCCAGCGAAGAAGTTGTTTTTGATAATGAAACTGAATCAGTATGGTGCCACGTCCAATTTCCCCAGGGAAACAACATCGTTTTTGGATCGTTTTACCGCCCACCTGACCACAACAATGAATCTTTGATTCAACTTTCCGACATACTATCACAAATATCTCACTGCGTAATACTGGGAGGGGATTTTAATCTGCCCGATATGAAATGGGATTCCGACTGTGTAGCCCCACAAAAAAATCGAAATTGTTCTGCCTTTTCAGAACTAATGAGTGTCTATGGGCTACAACAATATGTGAACGAACCAACTCGGATTAACGCTTTACTAGATCTTTTACTAAGCAATGACGAAAATGTTATTGTTCACACAAACGTATGTCCAGGAATTAGTGATCATAGTTGCGTTGTTGCAGAGTTAAACGTTTCTAGAATACCTGCGTGTAAGCAAACCCCTCGAAATGTTTTCATGTACGACAGAGGGGACTTTAATGCCATTTCCGAAGAGCTGGTCTTGTATTATCCCACTTTTTTATGCATATCGGAGTCATGCGGCATGGATGAATTGTGGCAAATTTTCCGTGACAAGGTTACAGAGCTGGTGAATATGTACGTACCTCAGAGGTGTCTAAGATGCAGAAAGAGGCACAAACCCTGGTTCAACTCTGAGATACGCAAACTTGTTAGAAAAGCAGCGAATGCCCATAAAAAGTTTCTTAAAAAGAGAACAGCACTAAATAAAACAAAGCTCAAAAGTGTAAACAAAGAGCTTAAGTTAAAACTAAAACAGGCAAAGCGTGTCTTCTTTGACAAGCTAAACACAGACTTGAAGTGTAATCCAAAATTCTTTTGGAAGTATGTCAAGAGCAACAGAAAAGACGACACAGCTATCCCTGACCTTTTAACCCAGGAAAAAACTATAACGGATGACCTGGAGAAAGCTGAAGCATTTAACGCCTATTTTCAGTCAGTGTTTTCAAAAAGAACTGAACACTCTCCAATGCTACCTTCAAAAAATATTGGTAATGAAATGGCGGAAATTGAAATCGATTACGCTGGTTTGGATAGTCTGCTGCGTACTCTGGACACCTCTAAGGCTACAGGGCCTGACGGTATATCATCTCATGTACTTAAAAAGTGTCACGTTATTATTGCACAATATTTATGCATAATGTACAAGTTGTCTCTAGACACCGGCGCTATTCCAAGGGATTGGAAAACAGCCAATGTGGTTCCTGTACATAAGGCAGGAAGCAAAAAACATGTACAAAATTACCGTCCCATATCCTTAATTTCAACCTGTTGCAAATTATTAGAACATGTTATTTATAGCGCATTGTTCAAATATCTCGAATCTACTCATTTCTTTGCCCGCTCCCAGCATGGATTTCGGCAAGGTCGTTCATGCGTCACGCAACTAACTGAATTTCAGCATGACGTACTGACTGCGCTTGACCGTAACAACATTGTTGATGCATTATTTCTCGATTTTCGCAAGGCATTTGATACGGTCCCACATAATCTGTTAGATATTAAACTGGCTTCACTGAATATTAATGCTAAGCTGCAAACCTGGCTACGGAATTACTTAAGTGGTCGTAAACAGTGTGTTGTTTTAAATTCTAAAACGTCTTCATACGTAAACGTGACTTCAGGCGTGCCACAAGGTAGCGTTCTAGGTCCGCTGTTATTTTTGGTTTATATAAATGATATAGCATATAACATAAAATCTTGCATAAAATTATTCGCAGACGATTGCATCATCTACCGTCACATTACTTCAATCACAGACACTGAATTATTGCAAGATGACTTAAACACGGTAACACATTGGTGCTCCACGTGGAATATGTGCTTAAATATCTCGAAGTGCAACCACATCAGCTTTGCAAAGAACATTTCAAAAATCCAGTGCACATACAGTATTAATGGCGAGGCAGTCAAAAAGGTGCCCGAGTGTAAATATTTAGGAATTTACTTGACAGAATCGTTCCATTGGAACAGACACATAGACCAAATGATCTCAAAGGCTAGTAGAACGTTGTTTTTATTCGTAGAAACTTTCACTGTGCAACAAAAGAAGTGAAAGAAACTCTTTACTTCCTTCTTGTCAGGTCTATACTTGAATATGCTTGTGTTATCTGGGACCCGGCTCAAAAGTATCTTGCAAAAACAATAGAAAAAGTCCAAAACCAGGCAGCCCGTTTCGTCAGCAACAACTACGACCCATTCGCTAGTATGTCAGAAATAAAGGCCATATTAGGCTGGGAAACTCTAAAATCTAGAAGACGGAAACTTCGATTAAAACTTCTGCATAGCATATATTATAACCTAACAGGAATTAATAAGTCTGAATACCTACTAGCACCAACATATCGTTCCACAAGATGCCAACACTCACATAAAATACAAGAATACGCGTACAAAACCACTACTTTTGCCAACTCCTTCTTTTAAAAACAATTAGAGACTGGAATGAACTTCCCGAAGGTATAGTGAACTTGAGTGACAACAGCGCTTTTTTCTCATCGTTGTGAAATTGTGACATATGTACTTCTCTTTTGGTACCTGTTGTCATGTGCAATATTGTACTAAAATATATTTTTTTTTTTATGTTGTTATAATTGAATTTTTTCACTATGTTTGGCGTCTTATCGCAGAAATGTTTCCTATGACTTCTTATGTATACCCCCCTGCAGTAATGCCACTACGGCGTTGCAGGAACTATGTAAATAAATAAATAAATAAATAAATATGTAATGTTTATAAAGCTGGATTGCCACCACTGCAACCACTATTAACGTTTCATGACCATATTAAGGTATTAAGCTATTTGAAAAGTAGGTCCGAGATCTGGCGTGGCTTTGTTGTAGAAGATGCTTGAGTGCCGCGCAGAATGCTTGGGTTCGATTTCTGATGGGACCGCGACATTTATTCTTTGCATTTGTCGGGTCAGCGCTGCCGATGTAAGGCTTTTTAGATGCGAAGCATCTCTGACTCACGTGTTTAACGCCGTACGTACGTCCGTGCGAACACACCGCAGCGCGTTTCTCTCGCCGCAGGTATTGGAGCACTGCCAAGTAGGTCAAGTCGCAGCTGCGCGTTGACGTCTCACCCGCAGCAGCTGCCGGCTTCTCCACCCACTCATAACACACATCTCTCCCACTTCACCCTCTCCACCACCCGCAACGCTC